ATATATATATATACATATATAGAGAGAGAGAGGAGAGAGAGAGAGAGAGAGAGAGAGAGAGAGAGAGAGAGAGAGAGAGAGAGAGAGAAAGCAACAATGTATTTGCAAATCCATAAGAGAGACTGGGCATATGTACACATATCCATGTTTATATATACATATATTCATGCACAATTTCATATAGCAAATGTTGGAGTGTCACAGCCTAAATCTAGTGATTTTATTACCAACAATAGTGAAAGATTGATGTGGAAACAATGTCACAGATATATAAGAATAGAAATGCAAACATGTGAAATATTTTCCCATTCAAATGCAACTTCTTTATGTCTTCTGCTTTCAAATAATGTAAGAATGCTAACATCTACCCCACTCACTTAAACTTGCATTAGCTCTCTGATGCTTGGGCAAAAACCATGGAAATGGAAGAACATAGATTTAGTTTTGGAAAGACCTTTGAGGTCATTAAATTCAACTCCTTTGGTTTACAGATGATGTAACTAAAGGCCAGAAAAGTTAAGTGACTTACTTGCCCAAGGTCCCACAGATCATAATTGTCAGATATTTGAACCCAGTTTTTCCAACTCCCAACCCACCAATCTTTCTGCTGTATTGCTCTGCCTTTACATTTATATTACCAACAATTTATGTTAGCAGACGGTTGACAATGGTCCTTTTTAATATTCTCTAATCCTTTCCCACTATTCAGCTACTATCACTGCAAAATTTGTTGAGGACTGAAGACCTTTTGTATTCTGATATGTTTCACAAGTTGTGATGGATCCCGCAAAACAAAAAAGAATCCATCTTGCTGTAGCCAACCTTTTGGTGATGCGCCTTGCCATCCTTAGATAGGCTGATAGCAGAAATAGATGGTTACTGAGTTTATGCTGAAAGCATTGCTCTAATCTGACAGTTTGTGTGCCACTGGCATAACATCTGGATGCTTAGGGTCTTCTTCATATCACAGGGATGCTTAGAGTTGGGCCTTTTTGATGGCAAATAATAACACAAGAATTAAGTAACCACATAAGTCAATAATACTTCTGTGAAATGGGGAGAATAATAGCACCTACTTTATATAGTTTTTGAGGATAAAGTGATAAGATCCCAGATTTAGACCTGGAAGGGAATCTGAAAGCTGTCTAGCACAGCCTTTTCATTTTACAGATGAGAAGCTGAAGAATAGAGAGGATTCTTAATTATCCCAGGGTCAGAAAGGCAATAATTAACTCAGAAGGGATTTCAAGCCAGGTCCTATAATTCCAAGTCTATCACAATTTCCACTGTAACACACTGTCTCTTCAATAATATACAGAAAATACCTTTTAAAACTTATAGCACTACATAAATGTTATTAAACAACAGTAATAACAGAACAAATCTCTCAAGTGCTCATTGAAGGAATGGTATACATAATACGAGTTTAGAAGAGGAAGGCATCACTATTGGCTGCTCAGTAGGCAACATGGAGGAGGTAGAATGTGAACTTGGCCTTAAAGAATGGGTAGTATTTGGAAAAGCAGGAAGAAAGAAGATAATCCAGGGAAGAGGTATTCAATAAAGTTATTGAGGTAAAGCTCTAATTATTATTAATGACGATAAAATTTATGTAGGTCTTTAAGGTCTGCAAGGTCCTTTCCAAATGTCATTGAGCAGAGTAGACCAGAACTGACTGGAGTGGAGGCTCCTGGAAGAAGAACCATAGAAAGTAAGTTTGGATGAAAGGTTTTGACTAGTTGATGGAGAACCTTGAATACACTGTAACTTAAGATGTTTGGCCTTCATCTTGTAGACAAAATGGAGATATTGGAGAGAGGGGTTTTGTTTTGGGCAGGTGGGTTGGTCTGGTGCATTTTTTGTTTTGCTTTTTAAATCAGTGGAATAGAATACTGGAAAAAAGCATTTGGGGTCATCTATTTGAGAGCAATTTGCAAAGCAGAAAGAGGTAAAGAGATACTACAAACTTGAAATTAGTTTAAAACTTCACTTAAATAATAATGCTGACATGGAGTTATGAGAAGCTGGACTAGGTTGGTAAGGAAGTGATGAATGGAATAGATATCACTATCGATTGAATATAGTCATCATAGAAAGGGAGGAGATTTAAAGTTGAAATGATATTTAGCATAGGTAACTAAAGTCAAGGTGGCGAAGCTATTTTGTAAAATAGTTAATGAGCTTGAGTATTAAACCTGTTGCATTTGAGTTGGTGGCACATCAAAGTGCCACCATCTAGACAGCACTACCTCTCACTCAATAGTAGGCAACAGAGAAGAACTGTCCTTGTCCATAGTTTTGGTTCATCCAAGAGATAATGGGGGTCAGAATCGCCATGCACCACTATTTGGAAAGTAGTTATCATACCTTACTTTCTGAGCATGACAAAGTGCTGAGAACTTGTTCTTTTAGTTGTTAGGTCATATCTATCCTACATCCATAACATTTCATCCCCTTCCTACCATTCATATGACAATCAGTTTAATTAAGCTCTTCATCATGGGATCAAAGAATCACAGAATCATATATCAAAAGTCCAACTCCCTAATTCTATAGACAAGAAAACTTAGGCTCATAGGGGTTAAATGACTTGCCCCAGGTCCCACTAATAATAAGTATCAAAGGTGGGAGTTAAACCCAAGTCTTCTCACTTCTCTTAGTTTCACATTAACTCCCCTCTCACTAGGAATATAACAACAGTCTTCTAAGCTTCCTCCTTGTGTCTTGCCTCTTCCTCTTTTCCAATAAAGTTTTCACTAATTGAAATTCCTGAAGCACAGTTCTGACCATGTCATTTCCCTACTTAAAAATGTTCATTGTCTCTGCATTGAATCTAGGATAAAATATAAATTCCCCTGTATGGTACTTAAAGTCTTTCACAGTCTGGCTCCAAACTTCTTCCAAGAGGACTATTCATACTCACTCTATATTCCAGCCAATTGAGCCTGATTGTTAGCCCAACTGGTAGCTTATTACCCATACAATATTCCATTTACCACATCTGTGCCCTCATCTGGACTGGTCACCATGACCACAATGCTCCTCTCCCTCATCTCCATCTGTCAGAACTTCTTATTCTCTTCAAGGATTCCCTCAAGTGTCACCTCTTACAAGAAGCTTTTCCTCATACTCCTATTTATAAGTGCATCCTAAAAACTTATACATATACATGTATGAATGTGTGAGAATATGTATGGACAGATAGATGGATAAGTAGGTAGGTAGATAGATAGATAGGTAGATAGATAGATGAAAACACACATCATATATTGGCAGCAAAGTGACACAGCTAGAGTGCCAACTTGACACCAATAAGATCTGAGTTCATATCTGTCCCCAGACACTTACTAGTTGTATGACCCTGGGCAAATCACTTAATCCTGTTTGTCTCATTTTCTTAATCTGTTGAATGAGCTGGAGAAATAAAGGGCGAACCACTCTAGTATCTTTGCCAAGAAAACCTCAAAAGGGTTACAAAAAGTCAGACATGACTGCCAGGAACAGAACAGAGGTCTATGCACAACTCATCAATCTAATCACGGTCTTTGATACTGTCAATTGTGAAGGCTTGTGGAAGATGATGGCAAAATTTGGTTGCTGGGAGAAGTTCATCATTGTTATACACCAGTTTCATGAAGGCACACTTGCATGGGTTCTGGATAATGAATAAACGAGGTTGTGTGCTTGCTTCCATGCTTTTTGCATGATGTTTTCAGCAATGCTGTCAGATGCCTTCAACAAGGATGAAAATGGCATTGAGGTTCAGATACTGCACTGATGCAAATTATTTCACTTGAAAAGGTTACCAGCTAAGACTAAAATGGAGGGAGAGTTGATGCATGACTTTTTGTTGTCAAATGATTGTGTAATCAATGCGGCTTCTGAGGCTGAGAAGCAACAGACTGTGGATCAATTTTCTGTCACTTGTGCTAATTTTGGACTGAAAGTTAACATCAAGAAAACAGAGGTTCTCCACCAGCAAGCCAGAAATTTTGAATGTTGTCGATGTTTGCTTACTTTGGCAGTATACTTTCCAGAGATGTACACATAGATGATGAGGTGAACTCCCACTTGTCCAGAGCTAGCTCAGTGTTTGGAAGGCTCTGAAGGCAAGTGTGGAAGAGAAGGGATATAAGTTTGCCTACAAAACTGAATGTCTACAGAGTTACTATGTTGACCTTATTGTTGTATTCCTGTGAAACCTGGACAGTATGCCAATACTATGCAAGGAAGCTGAATCTCTTCCATTTGAATGGTTTTAGGAAGATTCTGAAGTTCTCCTGGCAATATAAGGTACTGGATACAGTTAGCAAGTATTCAAAGAGACATAGTAGGCATTTAATAAGTGATTAGTAACTGACTTTCAAATTCTTTATCCCCAGACATGAGCTCTATTTTGAGGTCTACTTATGTAGTTCCAGTTGTATAAATTCAACTACCTATTCTGTTTCTTTTGAGTTGTCAGTGACTAGACTCTTATGATGTCTCTCTATCAAAAATTTTAACCTAGCTTCTAAGAATTATTCATTTTTATAAGTATATCTATGTAATTGATTTCCTTTTTAATTCTACTTATTTTATTTTATGTATTTAAAACATTATTCTGAGTAGTGCTTAGACTTTACCAGATTGCCAGAAATATCTATGACACACACAAAAAGATAAGAACTTCTGATCTATATCATGGTGATAGTGAAAACTAGAAACAAATATGAGATCTCCATCAACAATAAATAAGATAGGCACAAAGACAAAGCCATTGCATTTGTCAATTAGAAAATCATAAAGATCTTTGAGAATAAGGTTTTAATAAAACTATGAGTAAAGAAGTCAGTTTGTAGGGAGGTAAGGAATGAATGGGAATGGACTCATTGGGTGCAAGGACAATAAGGAAGTAGATGTTGGGCATATGGAAATTTGACTTTGATTTAAGAGAGATAAATGGAAAAATCACTTGACAGGAACAATAGGATAAAGAAAGTTCGTTTTCTTTTTTCCAGGATGGGAAAATGTACATATTTGAAGACAGAGAAGAAGGAGTGGTAGAGAGAAAGAAAATGAAAATATGAAAGCCAAGGGGGCATATATGGAGCATCCAGAAGCTATACAAGGAAGAACTGACTGTTGTAGTTTAACTTTGTTTCTTTAAAAGGAATTTCTGAGACAAAAAGAAAAATGAGAAAATTAGTAAAAATGACTTTTGAAATGTCAATAAGAAATTAAATGATGGTGTTCTGATGTTCTCCATATATTTCTTCTATTTGTCATTATTAAATCTACATGTAAACCCTACTTTATTGTAGTCTGAAGCCATATCATACTTAGACCTGATGGCATATCACAGATTAACCTATTAAGAAGAACTTTGATCCACTTTCACCAGAGATGGCACCCATATCTTTGGAATACAGATGCATTTCCTTAATTTTCCATATGGTGAAGAAAGCCTCGAGTCACTATCCAAACAATTCCCATTCAGATGCTTCTAATTTTCAGTAGGATTTCAGAAGCTTGTCTAGAAATTATGATCACAACTAGCTCACAGAAAAGAGTGTGGAAAATATTCTTCCATTTGGAAAGGGAAAACAGATAATTAAAACTTTTGCCTTTAATCACCAAACATTTCATAAACTTTCACTGTGTCTCTGGTGTGACTAGAAGCAGCAGGGATAGTTTTAAACTGAACAGCCATTGACTACTGTTAATGAACCTGAAGTCCTTCCATACTTGTCAGATGCCCTTGTGGGCACTGAAGGGACCGTAGTTCTACATGTGCTAAAAACATATGCCAACGGACTAAATTGTTCATTGCAATAGATTCCATATTTTAATTATATAATAAAAATAGGTAAGCACCATTTTAAATGCATGCATCCATGCATGTATGGACATGGGTCTTATAAAAATGAGCTATTAACATCTGAAGAATCAGATACTCAACAAGATATGCAGTTAATCACATCCACTTATCTGAGACTAAATTAAAAATTACAGCACTTGACATTAACCTTGACATATAATTGAAGCTAGAGGCCCAACTGTAGGTAAAGTGGTGAGATACTGCATTAACAATTTAGATAACTCAGTATGAATTTGAGGAAGCAGGACCGAAAGTGAAAAAAAAATCAAGAGGAAATCAAGTGAGATTTACTATTTTGTACTAAATAGTACTTCTTTACTTGTCCTTCCTATCATATTTCTATGCTATCCTTCTTCCAGGCCACTCAAAGAAATGTCCAAAGCCAATCACATTTAATCGGTTTTCAAAAGAGCCTACAAGGAAACTGGTAGAAAGAACCATCCCTATTTAATAGATAAAGAACTTTAATTCAGGAGTTTCAATTATAAAAATTAAGTGTTAGATCCCCCTTTCCTTACTCTGCTGGAGAAAATAGTTCCCAAACCCAACTCTCAAGCTAGCCAAAAAAGTATTAAGAACTTAAAATGAGATTTTGTGATTTTCTCGTTTAGACCATGTATGATTAAGGCTTTTGCCAAATGACACGGAACAGTAAGCAATAAATTTAGATTTCCCTAACTTATAAGTGTTGATTTTATTGATTAAATTATTTACTTCTACAAATGGCATGTCCATAAAGCCTTTCTCTAAAATGTATAAAATAGTGAATGTTTATCAGTCATAATGCCTCAATTCTTAAATTGATAGGCCTAATCAGAAGTAGTTTAAGAATACATCAGGATAGGGCAGTTAGTGCAGTGGATAGAGCACTGGCCCTGAAGTCAGGAGGACCTGAGTTGAAATCCATCTTCAGACCAAACACTTGACACTTACTAGCTGTGTGACCCTAGGCAAGTCACTTAACCCTAATTGCCTAAAAATTAAAAAAGAATACATGAGGATTATCCTAAGAACCATAACAGTGATGCAAAAAAAGACATATATAATTTTCTGATGTAAAATTCAACTAGTGAAGAAAAGTGCTAATAAGATAGAATAAGCTGATATGCATGGAATAACAAAGAAGTTTAAGATAATTTTTATTCACAGCCCTGACATTAAAGAGCCAAGTGAGTTCATTTCTCCAGGACTCAAAAGTTTATTAATATCCACAAAATGGAAATTATGATGGTAGTCACCTACTCACAGTTTTGAGACAGACAGACAGACAGATGGAGACAAAGAACAAGACAGAGAGAGAGAGAGAGAGAGAGAGAAGAGAGAGAGAGAGAGAGAGAGAGAGAGAGAGAGGTGGTGAGAAAGAGGGAGAGAGAAGGGGGAAGAAAAGGACAGGGAGGGGAAGGGAAGGAGGGAGAAAGAGGTAAAGACAGAAAGAGAGAGAGAGAGAGAGAGAGAGGAAGAGGAAGAGAAAGAGTGATTTGATGTGAATCTATGATTTCACTGGATAGTATTTGTCCACTAATAAATAAGACACATAAAATGATGTGGTGGTTTTTTTGGGGGGAAAGGTTACCAAAACAGTGCCCCACACCAAATGAGTGCCTTATAAGTACTCATTGACTTGAAATTTATTAAAATTAAAAGTTCATTAATTTATGTCATCCTATCTATTTTGTATACTGTTCTGAAAAGACTGACCCCATTCCTCCTTTCTGTCTAAGGCCATTAGCTGCTCCTTTTCATGAGCATTAAATTCCATTGTAGATTAAGGGAACAATAGAAAATGTGCTTTTCCTAGTCAACTGGTCAATTTTGGTTCTCAGGCTGCAGTTGTAACAGTGGTATAGAGCGTGCATCTATCCATTTGTGAAAAGAAATTAAATTCTAGATGTGCCAGGCTAGCTGTACCTGGAAGACAACATAAAAGCTAACTCCACAGAATCCTTTTATTCAGAAACCTGAGTGTCTATACTAAAATGTGGTAAGAAATGCAAATAGCTATTTACCCACTGAATTAAACATTAACTATTTTTCGAAGAATGATTCAATGTATTTCACAGTGTCTGGGAGATATAATCATAATACCTGATGTGAGGAAAACTGGTACCTTCCTGAGTGAAACGGAAAAAAACGGACAGGGCAGGCATCATCTACTCAGGTCATTCAATGTCTTGCAAGTTTAATCACGCTTTCTTCATCTTCCATTACCTTTATTAGGTCCTGTTAGGTTAGTGCTCAGTGTTGATCTGTATCTTGGTCAAGACAATTGATGCTGATTAACTATAATTACCAGTAATGGGGTCAGCTTGCTTTCAGACACTAATGCCATCAGTTCATCCAGGCATCTTTTTCTACCAGAAAGACTTCCAATCTTCTAGCATTTACTTGTTATTGTTTGAACCAACAAGTTTCTTCTTGGGTGGGCTATTAAAGTGTTTCCCTGTCCTAAATGCCTGAAGTAGACCCTCTTTAGTTTCCCACCTCTATCCTCACTTTGCGGGCAGATGAATGACAAAGGCTGTGAAGAAAATTTTTTTTTAAATGGAAGGACATTTTTTTTGGCTAAAGGCATAGTAACAATACAGGAAAATGAGTAAATGAGATAGAATTCAGTTATTTTAGTTGTTGTTTGAAGAGTTGTAGAAAATATGAAAAATGAAATGTAAACTGTTCACTATGCTATAGGACTTGACTATTAATAACACTTTAAAATTAAATGTCAGTTCTTTGATTGAAATATGATGATGTATTTCTCTTGATTTGAAGTCAGTAAGTTAATAAAGTTTTTTATGCTAAAGATAATGAAACAAATGTCACAAGGTACTCACTATCTATTCATATATCATAAATATTAAGTAAAAAAACTGTGACATTTTGTTCTATATTTATTTTCCTACTTTTTTTTGCCAGAAAGCACCAAGCCCAGTATATTGCCTTAGGGTACCTTACCATTTATGATTATTGAGGGGTGAACACAAGAGATCAGAGTTTTAGTTCCAAGTTCATCACTACAGAACTATGGATGAGCTAGATATTTAGACTCATTGTGTCTGTATGTTTTCATCTTTTAAATGTGATATTAATTTGTGCCCTGTGCCCTGTTTCACAGTGTTGCTGCTAGGACTCCTCAATACTCAATACTCAATACTTTGCAAAGCATGAAGAATTATTTAAATAAAAGGCAGTCTCATTATTTTAAGTGCATCTTATAGGAGTTGAACAGAATGCCGAATTACCATCATAATACCATATATTTCCTAAAACATTACTTGGTCTGTAAATTCAAATCAAAAGCCAGAATTTTGTTGTTGTTTTTCCTATTGGCTACTGCTAATGGCAGAGAGGAAGGGGAAGAGAAAAGCAGCGTGAGAAGCACTGTGCTAAAAGCTTTACAAATATTTTATTTACAAATAGTATTTCATTTTACTCTCACAACGATCCCCATTTTATCCTTGAGAAAACAGAAGCAAAAGTTAAGTAACTTGTCCAAAATAGTAAGTATCTGGGCCAGATTCCTGACTCCCATCCCCAACTTTATCCATTGTGCCACCTCAATGCCAATAAGCAAATTAGTAAATTAGAAAAATTAGCAAATCCATAAATTATGATTATCTGTGTTGTGAGGGTTACTCATTTAATTTATTACACCTTATTCCTTGAATAGAATTATCACCATATTGGGCTCCTGGCATGAAATTTTCTTAAGCGTGCCTATGGAAATTCAATTGTTTCATTATTAAAAAAAATATATAATTTCTTGGGAACTATTGAACTTGTGAATAAATCTAAGGATTCAATCTGTGGGAAGACTAACTGTGATTAACTTTAGGAAAAATTAAATGAGAAGAATTGGAAGTAAAGGAGTAGAAAGGCTAGATTTGAAGGACAAAAAGAATTGGAGAGAAAAGAGCAGAAGAATAAAAGGATTCCAAGAAAGGAAAAGATAGTTGGGAAGGCAAAGGATGGGTAAGATAAAATGTGAAATTAGTGAAAGAAGGAAAAGAATATTGAGTGAAGTGATCAAATTGGAAGAGGAGACAAAGGTATTGATGTGATATCTTGGAGGCAAGTATCAAGCAATTTGAAAGATAAGTCCTTAGGAGAACATAAAGAATTTTGAACTGACATTGAGTGTGGATTTTTGTTTTAATTTATGCCAAAGTCAAATTGTTGCTAATTGTTTTCAAATGGCAGGTTCAAATTAGGCAACTAATTGTGTTCAAATGGGCTATCTCCTAGAAGAGACTAAAAACAACAGTTAACTTATGTAGGGCTTTAAGTTTTATAAACTGCTTTA